TATTTGGTTTTGCTCCTTTAGTAATCTCGATCAAGTTCAATCTCATTTATTTATTTCTTCGTATTAGGTTTTGTGTTGTTAGTCATCTCTTTCGAGCGGGAGCACAAATAGAAAAATGACGGATAAATCTTTTAATATGATTTATCAGTCATTATGCATGATTGATTTGTTCGTATTTGGTTTTGTGTCATTAGTCATCTCTCTCGAGCTCAAGCTCAAATAGAAAAATGACGTATAAATCTTCTAATATGTGTTATCAGTTAATATGCATATACTTTTTATTTGGGTAAATTGCAAGGTTGGTCACTGGATTTACAAAAAACGTTCATGTATGGGATCACTACAAATATTTAATTTCATTCGTGATCACTAAAATTAGTTCAATAGTTCATGTTTGGTCATTCTCCGTTGATGAAAACATATGTGGCACCAAACTTCTTCAACTTGCTGCTCCATTATCTTAATGTATGGAGTAGCTTCTTTAAGACTATCCGTGGCTAATAAAGCATTCAATATATTGCAGTGCAGATACAAGCCAGCAACCCTTGTGACAATGGATAGGTAGGAGGTGAATGGACATCTCCTCCTAAATGTTTCGCATCTTCTCAACAATTGCTCATCGATATCAGGTAATCCAACAAACCTCAATGGAGGTTCAGGGAGAGCTATTATGGTATTAGATTCACCAAGTCATAAACTGGGAAGGGAACAAAAAAAAAAAAAAAACAAATCAGGACAATACCTTCACAGGTTTGTGAACCTAAATTCAAACCCTACCTTCCTGTCGTTCGTAGGGATGTCAATCCAACCCGTAACCATGGTACCCTACTTGATCGTAACCGGTCAACGAGGGTAATTACCCGCTTTGACGGGTTAAGGGGCGGGTACGGGTAATACCCGGTTTCAAAATAAAGGGTAGGGTACGGGTATGGTAATCGATAATACCCGCCCCGTTAACCAAAGGGTCAATTTCCCTTGAGAAATTTATTTTAGTTTGAGAAATTGAGTTTAGCTACCATTATTGATGATGAAGATGTAGACGACATTATGTTTGTGTGGATTGTAGAAGCAAGAACAATTATTATGTGTTTGCTATTTTTATTTGTGTGGATTGTTGAAGGTAGAACAGTTACAAGTATTGAGAATTTTTAATGGACAACAGTATATATGTGCATATATGTGTATAAGTTCATAGTTTAGGATTCGTACCCATGGTTACCTGAATACCCGTGGTTACCCGGTGGGTATGATTATATAATTTTCATATCCGATGGTTATTTGGTCGGGTATTTTAGAAAGCTCTGCCCGGCGAGTTAGGAGTTGGTATAGGATAAACCCGCACCCGACCCTACTCATTGCCATCCCTAGTCGTTCGTCTACATCAAGAGAAGGTAGAAATTGCTTTCTTGGAATCGAACTGATCATCGGGCTTTTAGCAGCAAGGATCTTTTCCCTCGATTTTGATTGTTCGTCTACATCAACAAGGGATGTTTTTCCTCGATTTTGATTATTCGTTGGAATCTGGGAACCTCCATTAGCAGACATCTTCGAGAATTGAAATATACAACAGCGAGAGATAAGCAAACGAGACTAATCAGAAATGGGGAGGAGAAATCGGGACAACCTTCATAATAGGTCATCTATGAGAAGTCCTTCGTTAGTTTCGTGAACTCTAGAGTCTCCCGGTGATGAGAACACAAATGGCAGGGGAAGGGGGTTCGTGCGTCTTGGCGAGAAAGTTTTGGAGTTTCAAAGGGCGGGAGGGAAAGAACATTGTGGTCTGAAGATGCGGCCGGTATAAATGAACTAGGTCGTAGAGCTTGGGCCCATGAATATCTGAAACGGACCCAATATTCAGCAAGAAAGAAAGAAGATCACAAGGAAGGGATCGAGTGGAAATAAAAATAAAAAGGAAACCCAATATTCAGCATGTTTTTTCTTTGGCAAAATACACCTGTATAGCCATAACTTTCACACTTTCGACAAATATAGCCATTTCTATTCGAAAACCACAAATAGCAAATTCCGTCCATTTTGGTAACGGTGTTAATAGACGTTATGACTAGACTAACGGCTGACGCTGAGTTGGCCACTGAGTTACCCTACCTTCCGACGTGGAAATGAAAAAAAAATGAAAAAAAATCTAAACAAAAGGAACAAATTAACACAAAATCCCCAACACAAAATCCCTAAAATCTATTTGCCCTTTGTCTATCCCTAAAAATCAAAAACTTCAATCGACATCCTCTCTGCCGGCTGGATCCCCTCGAGGTCGAGGAGCACCTCAAGCAGCCGCCGCAACCCATCGCCACCTGAAATACCACCACCACCAGCACTCCTTCATCCTCAATCGTCGTCGCGATCATGGCAGCTTCGTCCATGGTTGGCTCCGCAGATGAGGCAGAGATTTAAGATGTGGGAGAGCGAGTTGAGAGGGTTCAAGCAGCTGGGGATGATTCATGCTTGTTCGATTGGGAGAAATGGTGAAGGCGAGCCGGTACGAGGAGCTGAAGGGGGAGAGGGCTGCGGTGAAGGAGGAGCTGCAGGGCCTGGCTGTGCGATAGGATCGATGAGGCAGATCTGAATTGGAGACGGAGGGAGGTTGGGTATATTCTCTGGAGATTTTGGGTATTTCTGGGTTTGGGATTTTTGTTGCAGGGAAGGGAATTTGTTCGGAGACGGAGGGGGTCGGGTCGTTGGTTGGGAGCAATGGTCGCCGGTTGGGAAAGTCGATTGATGCGGCGGTGCTGGTGGGAAAGTCGATTAATGCGGCGACGGCGACTTCGTTGAAGCTGTGCCTCTCCTGGGAACGACGGCATCGTTGGCGATTTGGGAGGATGGAAGGGTCGCAACGAGAAGAACGGAAGGTAGAAGAGATTTTGATAGAGAAGAAGTGAAGAAATTGACTTTTTTGGTGATTATTCAGCCTCTGTTTATCTCTGCCATTGAGATGGTGGAGGAGTCCATCGGAGAACAGATGGGGAAGACAAAGGAGAGGAGAGAGGGAGATGAGGCTGGATATTGAAAAGGAAAAAATAAATAAATATTTTATGTTTTTAAATTAGTTATTAATTAATTAACTAATTTATTTTTGAATTAAAATATGACATGGCACTTACGTGGCAAGTGTGGTTGAGTTGTCGCTGACGTGTGCGATGAGTTGGCATCCTAGTCAGGTTAACGTTAACCTAACTAACGGAGTTTCTAACACCGTTAAAGTTTCTAACGGAAATGGCTAGATTTGTCACATGACCATCCAATTTCTTGGCTATTTTGTGTTTTCCAATAGTTATGGCTATATTTGTCAAAAACGTGAAAGTTATGGCTATACAAGTGTATTTTGCCTTTTTCTTTTTGTTGTCTTTCGACATTGAATTGTGGGTTCTGTTTTGTTTAGAGGGAGTAAGGACCAGCGACGGAGCCAGGATTTTGAATTAGAGGGGGCCGGCGAATTCTTTCCCCAACACATACATAGTGATGAAAAAATGCATATAAATATAACATCCAAAATTATTAACAATTTTTATATAAAATCATTAAAAATATGTCAAAAATATAAAAATCATGACATATTTCAAAATAAAATAGCATAGATTCGACTATCTAAAATATAACATGTTCAATTTTTTAAAAAAAAAATCACATTCAAAGAGCCTTACCAAGAAAATAAAAAAAAAAATATAAAGGAGACTTGCTTAGAAAAATAGGGAAAAGGGTGTATGTACTAGGAAGAACCAATTTATTAATTTAAGCAAAATGAGTTTTGAAGGAAAACATAAAGGAGACTTGCCCTCATCCTCATGGTAAAAGGGTGTAATGAGAGTCAATTAAAGCAAAATGAGCTTTCCAAGTAAAATGGTGTAATGAGAGTCCATTAAAGCAAAATGAGCTTTCCAAAAATAATGATAGGAAAATATAATTATATAAGTGCCAGCACCATTGTGCTATGTAAGATTTTGGTTACTATATCAAACTTCCATTGTATTTCAAAGTTTAGGGGGGGCATACACGCTGGCTCGTCCCTGGTAAGGACTTTGGAGGAAAAGAAAACCAATAAAAGTAAACTCTTCGATTTTCACGATTCATTCCATCCGCATGTTACTCAATGCACGCTATGTCATTACTACTTACATTATTATTTTGACACAGAGCGTCATGCTACGTCACACTTTACGTGTTTTCATTCTTATAATTTTTACTTCGTTTTTACAACCATCGTTTACTTTAATTCATCCACTCAGCATTCAGTAATCGAGACCGAACAAGATGCTAACACCGTCTAATGTCACTACCCTACTAACACTTTAATTCATCCACTCAACGAATAAGGTGTTAACACCGTCTACTGTCACTACCCTTCTAAACACTTTAATTCATCCACTCAACATTCAGTAACCGAGACCGAATAGGGTGCTCACCCCTCTAGTGTTTGGCTTTTGTCCAATTTTTTACTTTGAAGTTTGAGGTTTCTAAGCGCGCAACTTCGCTTCTCTATTGATTGGTGGCGAAATCAACTATAGTTGTATCACTAAACTCTAGGCTAAGCCCTCGAAATCGTCTTAACAAGGCGTTGGATCCAATACTCAAATAAATCCAATAAGTGCCGCCAGCAGGGCATTAAATCCCAATCAACACAAGCCAAAATGTACATGTCCATTTCACCTCCCTTGTGTGGAAACTACAAAGATGACAGTTTAGCGTTTTACTAATACCCCCTACCTGATGAATCACCTTCCGCAACAACGTTAACCCACACTAACCAATATTTCTAGCTAGTATTACAAGTCATTAACTAATTAATTACTCCACTAATCACAAGTTCACAAGTCACAACCCTATTTATATCAGCTAATCACCACATCCCATCACTACATATCCTCGTGACACAACTCAGAAGAAGAGAAATGAACAAGCCAAATATCCTCCACCATGCCTGCCTCCTTCTCCTCTCCATCATCGTCTCCTCGTTCGACGTAAACGCCGCCGGCGCGAAGGTTATGATGGAGTACATCGGAGCCACGGGGTCGCCGATCGAGTTCGACGCCGTCCCCATCCAACCAGGCATCGACTTCCACTTCATCCTCGGCTTCGCCATCGACGCCGACTCCTCCGGGACCCCGCTCAACGGGGAGTTCAAACCTTACTGGGCCGACACCCTGAGCCCAGAATCCATCTCGTCACTCAAAGCCCAACACGGCCCAAGCGTGAAAGTCATGGCCAGCCTCAGCGGATGGAGCCTCGGGGGGAAAGTGCTCCGCTGGACCCGGCCCAATAACCAATCCTTGTGGATATCCAACGCCGCCTCCTCCCTCCGCTCCCTCATCGCCACCTACCACCTCGACGGCGTCGACGTCGACTACGAGAACTTCGGCCGCGGCAAGGGCGACATCGAAAGCTTCGCCTTCTGCATCGGCGAGCTAATCGCACAGCTGAAGCGGGAAAATTCGATCTCCGTCGCTTCAATTGCGCCGTTCCACACCACGGTGGCGCCCTACGCGGCTCTGTTTCGGAGGTACGGTGGGCTTGTTGATTATGTGAACTACCAGTTCTATACGGACAAGGTTAGGAATCCGGTGGCTTACCTGGCCGCGTTTCGGCTGCGGGCGGGGCAGTTTGGGAAGGAGAAGCTGCTGCCGAGCTACGAGGTGAGTGGGAGAGGGATTCAAGGGGACGGGTTTTTCGACGCGCTGGCTGCTAGAATTCTGAATGAAAATCTTGTTTCTCTGTATTGAATGAAAGAATCGTGCAGAGTTCAGTATAGAAGACTGAATTTATACTCTGTTCTACAGGAGGGAAAGTTAGTTATGATCCTAACAACCTAGACAAATTACACTTTGATCCTATTTACATTTATTCTACCTATACTAATCCTAATCAACTATGTTAATTACAGAATGATACCTATATCATCTAATACCCCCCCGCAAGCTAAGCATGGATAGATCGCATGTTTAGCTTGGAGATGAGTTCCACAAACGTGTGTACTGGTAAAGCCTTTGTGAACGGGTCTGCAAGTTGAAGAGTTGTGGATATGTGCTGAACTTTCAACTTTCCAGCATTGACCTGATCGCGAGTGAAATGGCAATCCACCTCGATGTGTTTTGTGCGCTCGTGTTGAACTGGATTCTCTGTCATCTTGACGGCAGAGAGACTGTCGCAGTAGACCATGTAAGGTTGAGCAGGTTGAACAGGGAGCTGCTGAAACAAGGCTGTCATCCATTGTAACTCTTGTGATGTATCAGCTAGCGCTCTATATTCCGCTTCTGCTGATGAACGAGAGATGGTCTGTTGCTTCTTGGATCTCCAGCTTATCAGCGAATTCCCTAAGAACACACAAAAGCCAGTCACAGATCGTCTAGTATCAGGACATCCAGCCCAGTCAGAGTCAGAGAAAGCAGTAAGGCGAGTAGAAGAATTGCAAGGAAAGAATAAACCACGAGCAGGAGTTGTTTTCAAGTATCTAAGGAGTCTGTGAGTGGCCTGCTCATGAGCTGTTGTAGGAGAATCTACAAACTGACTAAGCTGGTTTACAGTGTAGCATATGTCAGGTCGTGTGTTGCATAAATATTGAAAACGACCAATTAATTTTCTGTAACTAGAGTGAGCTGTCTCATCTAGTCTAGTTCCATCTTTAGCAGAGAGATGAGTGGCAGGAACAGAAGGAGTTGTTGCTGGTTTGGACGCCAAAAAACCAGTATCAGAGAGTAGGTCCAATGTGTACTTTCTTTGACACAAATGAATACCAGTTTCAGACCTGGAAACTTCCATGCCAAGAAAATATTTTAATGGACCAAGATCTTTTATTGTGAAAGCAACATCTAACTGATTTTTAACATACTTGATCTCATCTAAGTTGTTTCCTGTGAGGATAATATCATCGACATAGACTAACAAGGCTGTAAATGAAGTGTCAGAATACTTAGTGAACAGACTGTAATCACTATGAGATTTCTTGTAGCCAAGAGTTTCCAGAGTTGTGGCCAGTTTTTCAAACCATTGACGGCTTGCTTGTTTCAAGCCATAGAGAGATTTGGTGAGTTTACAAACTTTATTCTGATCAGATGGGTGTACTTGGAGACCTGGAGGCAGCTTCATGTATACATCTTCATGGAGATCTCCATGTAAGAAAGCTGTATTGACATCTAGTTGTTCAAGATGCCAATTATAGATTGAAGCTAGTGCTAAAAGGATTCTGACAGTAGTCATTTTAACTACTGGGGAAAAAGTATCCAGATAGTCAATTCCAGGAGTTTGTGTATATCCTTTAGCCACTAAACGAGCTTTGTATTTATCGATTGAACCATCTGGTTTGAATTTTAGTCTAAAAACCCACTTATTTCCTATGATGGGAACATTAGGTGGGGGATCAACAAGTACCCAAGTTTTGGTTTTCTCAAGAGAAGCAAATTCAGAATTGACAGCAGCTAACCACTCTTTGCTCTTAGCTGCCTCTCTGTATGTTTTTGGCTCTCTGACATGAGTGATTGATAAGGCAAAATGTCGATGAGAAGGGCTGAGAGACCTGTAAGTCAGCATATTTTGGATAGGATATCTAGTTGAAGACAGTAGATTGGCTTGGCTAACTAGATTACACTCGTAATCTTTTAGTTTAGCAGGTTTGACAATCTGTCTTTGTGATCTCCTCAACTGAGGTTGTGTAACAGGAATAGATTCAGGGATGTGTACTGATGATTCTGGGGGAACAACCTCTGGATTAGTTGTGATAGATGAGGGTACTGAGTGTGAAAAGGTATTGGAAAGAGTGGTGTGCGCTTTGGTAAAGTCCAGGTCTGAAGAGACCACTGGAAACACAGGAAGAGGAACTGATGTATTCAAATCATGAGATGACTGAAGAAAAGGGAAAATAGTTTCATGAAATGAAACATCCCTTGATACAAAGATGTTATGAGTAACTAAATTGTACAGTCTAAACCCCTTTGTGCCATGAGGATGGCCTAGGAAAACACAAGGGTTGGACCTGTGATCAAGTTTAGTACGAGTGGCTTGAATAGTTGCAGCATAGGTGAGGCAACCAAACACTCTCAAATGATGTAAAGAAGGTGGAGAACCATGTAGTTTCTCATAAGGAGTTAGGTTCTGAAGAAGAGTAGTGGGAGTTCTATTGATTATGTGAACAGCATGCATTGCTGCAAAGTTCCAGAACTGTGGTGGCAGTGAAGCTTGAAACAATAAAGCCCTAGTGACTGCTAAAATATGCTGGTGCTTTCTTTCGACAATTCCATTCTGTTGGGATGTGTAAACACAGGTAGTCTGATGTATGGTTCCTTTAGAATTATAGAAATCTGGAATGTGGAATTCTAGGCCATTATCTGTTCTAATGGTCTTAATTTTGCTGTGAAACTGTGTTTCAACAAAAGCAAAGAAGGAAATAATGATGGGACGTGCTTCAGACTTGGTTTTCATTGTAAAGATCCAAGTATGCCTACTGAAATCATCTACTATTGTTAGAAAATAAGAATGACCCTGTATGGAAGAGACAGGAGCATTGCCCCAAATGTCAACATGGAGAATGTCAAAGGGAGCAGATGTTTTACTAACACTGTTGGGAAAAGGAAGCCTCTTCTGTTTGGCTTTGGGACATATAGTACAATGGAAACCAGACTGAGCTGTAATAGAACTGTCTAGATTGTGAAAAAATCTGAGTTTACAATCTGGAATATGGCCGAGTCTGTAATGCCATATATCAATGGAGTTCTTTGAAGTAGAGAAAGCTACTGTAGGAGATACAGGCTGAGTGGTGTTAAGAATGAGATTATGCTGTAATTGGGCTGTTTGAGATGGATGATGTAAGAGATAGAGTCCATCAACCAGACTAGCTGTTCCAATCATTGTCAAACTGGGGTAGGCCTGAATGAAACACAGGGAATAGTGAAACCATAAGCAAATGGTAGAACTACGAACTAGTTTGCTGACAGAGACGAGATTAAAGCTGAAGGCAGGTACAAGAAGAACATCATAAAGAATCAAGTGTTCTGAGTATTTGACAGTGCCTATAGCTGAAACTGAGACTTTACTACCATCAGGCATATGGACAAAGGTGTTTGAAACTGCCTTGGACTGAAAAAAGTGTGTGGGTGAACAGATAATGTGATCTGTTGCCCCAGTGTCCAAAATCCATCGGTTCTTTAAATGACAGTTAACATTTAAAGCATAATGTAAAATACCTGATGGCTCAGTTGTGTCAAAAGCATGAGAAGCGACAGAGTTTGCACGACTGATCATATTATGCTGACCAGAGCCTTCACTGTCATTAGATGCTGAGTAATGAGCTGGATTATTAGCTGTGTATGCATCTTGAAATGCAGATGGTGGAGGATAATGCTGTTGCTGAGGAGCTAAGAATTGCTGCTGCTGTGGAGCAGAAAACTGCTGTTGTTGAGCAGAAAACTGCTGCTGGGACTGAAGGCCAGGAGCAGTAGCTTGTTGCTGAGGATATGGTTGCATAAGATTCAACATCTTATGATAATTCTGCTGAAAACTCTGCCAATCTGACTGGTTAATGACTACTGTTCCAGCAGATGTGATATCAGAAGAAATGCTATTAGCCTGCCTAGTTGGTGGCTTCTTCTTAGACTGATAACCAGGAGGATAGCCATTTTTCTTGTAGCAGATATCCTCAGTATGACCAGTGTACCCACAGTATGTACAAACAGGCTTCTTGCCCTGTTTCTTGAATCCTTGCCCAGCACCCTGAACACCCAGATGTTGCCCAGAAGCTTTGGTAAAGAAAGCCATACTGTCTGAGGCAGGATTAGGGTTCAATTGAGGTTTAGGAAGCAATCCATTCTCCCTTTCATGCTGAACCATCATGGCAAAGACCTTATTGATGGGAGGAAGGGGATCTAGGAGCATAACTGTGGATCTAGGTCCATTGAAGCTATCGTTCAAGTTCCTTAGGAATCTAATGACCTTATCATTCATATAATCCTTTCGCAATGAAGCCAGAACACAATGACAAGTGATGCCGCAATCACAATCAGGTATGAAACGATAGTTGGCTAACTGATCCCACAAAGCACGCTGCTTAGAGTAATATTGAGAAACGCTCATTGTACCTTGCTTGAGGTTGAAGATCGATTCTTGGAGATCAGCAATACGAAAGGAATCACCCTGAGAGAACTGCTCGCGGAGCTCGGTCCAGGCACCAATGGCAGTAGTGACATACAGAATACTCTCAGCAATCGTAGGGTTCACCGACCTCTGAATCCAGCTAAGAAGCAGCTTGTTATTGCGATTCCACGGCTCGAGAAGTGGAGAATCATCATGCGGCTGAGGGATTTTGCCGTTAAGAAACCCTAATTTGTTCTTGCCGTCGATGACGAGAACCATCGATCTTTCCCAGCTCGAGAAATTATTCTCGGTGAGTGGCTGAGAGACGAGGCATTGGCCCCAGTTCTCCGATGGATGGATGAAGAACGGAGAGGCGGGATCGGAGATCGGAACGCCTTTGTACAGAATCACACCAGAATTGCTCTGGCGACCTCCAGTGTGAGGATTTGCGGCGTCGTCGCCGGAAGAAGAAGAATCATGAATCGCCATAGGAGGACGATCTCAAGAACTCAGTGGAGAAGAAAGAGAGATGCGGAAGCGAGAATTTGAGGCGAAATCGGCTCAGAAGAGCTCTGATACCATGCTAGAATTCTGAATGAAAATCTTGTTTCTCTGTATTGAATGAAAGAATCGTGCAGAGTTCAGTATAGAAGACTGAATTTATACTCTGTTCTACAGGAGGGAAAGTTAGTTATGATCCTAACAACCTAGACAAATTACACTTTGATCCTATTTACATTTATTCTACCTATACTAATCCTAATCAACTATGTTAATTACAGAATGATACCTATATCATCTAATACGATGTTGGAGAGGAATGGGTTTGGCGTTAATGGAGTTATGATTTTCTCGGCGGATGCTTCTGCGGCGGAGGGTGTTAATTTCGAGTACGAGAAGAAAGCTCAGGCCTTTCTGCTCAATGTCAATAGCACCCATCTTTCGTAGGTAGAAAGAAAATGTGTTTCAGGCCTTTCTACTCATCGAACATAAGTTAGCCATATTGGATTTCAGTTGTATAATTGTGGTGAACGATAATGTATAATGTAATATTTTTTGTTAAAATAAGGCAAAATATAATTTAATAAATATTTATTATATAATAATGGTAAAATAATAATTTATTATAACAATTGTAATAATCATTGGTCGAGTGATCTCGAAGCTCGGAACTCAACTCGTAACTTGTCATCCTACATTTGTTCTCGTGTATAATTGTACTTTAATTAGAATATGGTCAAACTTAGTCAAACACGTTCGAATCTGTAAGTTTTAATTATATGATCAACTAAATTGAGTCAATCAAACCGTTCTTCGCTACCTTTTTCATAAGCACTTCTTATCTCTAATTTTCAACGCAAATTCGAGTCGATCAAGAGATCTCGATTTGACTAGACGAAGATTGATAACCTTGCTCTCGGAGTCAAATGGTCAACCCCGAACATATCTTATTAAGAAATTTTTTTGATAATGTTAATTAAAAATTTATTAGAAAAATAATTTCTTCCCTCTCTCCTTCCTCCTTCCTTCCCTTGCACCCCAATTAGAGGGTAAGCCGAAATAGTAATTCTGTACCCCCGTTTTGCACCTCCTACTGTTAAAATTTATCCAAACGGATGCAAATGTGTTGGAAATTCTGTACCCCCGTTTTGCACCTCCTACTGTTAAAATTTATCCAAACGGATGCAAATGTGTTGGAAATTGTGTTTACCCCTCTCATTTGCACCCCCCTCCCATTTGCACCTCTTCTCAAACATAGTGTAAAATTCGCCAATAGGATCGAAAACTGCTCATGTAATTGAATAAAATGTTACCAATGTAACATTTTCATAATATTTGTATTAAGATAAATTTATAGTATTCTGATTTACCCTAACTGAGAGATGCTCCAACGACCGGTGAACCGTTTAACGACGTTGCGTTTGGCAGAATGGTCATTTTTAATTCGAATTTTTTTCCATAGATATTCTTAATGAAGCAACAATTTAAATACGAGAATATACAAAATATTTGAAGACAGATCACATCAACAAAATAAGAAGAAAAAATATTTAATATATTCATAATCCATCTATTTATATTTTTTTTACTCTAAAATCTCCTGAGCTTTTAATTAAAACTTCAAGTATCAAAAATAGATACAATATTATCAGAGCCCAACACAGGTGATATGTGGCTTATTGGTCCACTCAATTTTTTGGTCCGATCCATAATTTAAATGGGCCATAAGAGTGGGCCAGCTGATTTGCTTTCTCTACGACCAAAACTCCACCCATTCAACAAACCTGACTTCAACGTCGATCTAATATTTGCCGGCCGGTCGTCCTCTGTCCTCGGCAATCGGATTCAATCAAAATCAGGGGATAGGTTTCTCTTTACGGCTTCTTGAATACCCAGCCACCCTTCATTTCCTTTTTCCTCTTCGACTAAAGCCATAGATAAAATTGTAATTCTGAGTCTCCACTCTCCACCATTCCTCCAAAACGGAACTCATCCTGCCCAATTGTAAAGTGTTCAGCTTGTAAACTCCTCACCGTCATGCAACCCGTTCTTGGGACTTCGATGAATTTCGTTTAGGTGGGTTTTGTGCTGTTTATGTGCTTGACTCAGGGGTTTTGAAGTTTGACTTGGAATGTTGCGGGTTGATTGATAGATGAAATGTGGAAGCTTGTTTATCTATTTGGAGGGCTTTGTGTTCTTTGCACTCCAGACTAGGCTGCATAAGGGCGACAATTGCTTGCTTCTAATTGCTAGGTGTAGCTGCTGTATTGAAACGTGGTGTTTCGGTTCCTTCCTCCTCGTGATTCTATATTCTTGGAACCCGGGTTTGTGTGTTTACTTTATTTGACTGTGGTCAGTGGTGTTATGTCTCGGCTGCAACCATGTTTGGGCCCGTCCGATCTGATCTCACGGCTCAAACACAAGCTTGCTCGTCCCGCTTTTTGTTTTCTAGTGCCATAAAACCCTCTCCTCTTTAGCAGAGTCTTTCAGGTTTTGGTCCCCCTTATTTCATTTCCTCCATTGGACAGCCATACCAAAAGAAAGCGAACCTTTCTCCGTCCCCAACCCGCTCTCTACTTCCCCAGCTCTACCAGGCACTTCTTCCATCGATTTCTCCTCTCTCCAGTGTCTCTTGGGTGTTTAGTTTCCAGGGTTTTTGTTTAATGTTCTACAGGAGTTCAACGATTTGTGTCAGTTAAGGTTAATGGTGATAAATACTTCTCAAATGGCTCTGTTGCTCCTCCTCTGCCTACTGGGAGTTGCTTCAGCTTCTACTAGTAATGAAGGTAAAGCCTTTTCATTCCTTTCTTGTAAAACCCCCTCTTAAAAACTTTCTTAGTCTGGTTTCTTTTGATTTGTAGTTCATTATTACATTTGTAGCTACTGGGTTTTGATTTTCCCTCCCACCTTTACATCTTCATTCAAGTGCTTATTGAGTTGGGTGTTCTCCATTTTCATGCCTTGTTAAGATTTATGTTTGTTATACTCATTTTTGTGATATTGATAAGGCTGCTTGCTTGTTTGTTCTTCTGTTCAGGAGGAGTTTTCCTCATGAAATGAATGTTGCTGTTTTTGAGGGTTCCCATTTTTGGAAGTTTGGTAGAATGTATTAATGTCTGGATTCGGTTAGGTTGTGTTAAGTGATGTTGTAAGGTTAATAGGGAAAGTTGCTTGGTCCTGTGTCATAATCTTTTCTTGTTGTTACTACCTGTCATTATCGAACTAATAGAAGTTTTCCTGTGAGCGGTGTTCTTTTCTTTAGTTAATCTCATGAACTATTCCCTCCATACCATTAATGGAGAATCTCAGAAAAAATAGTGCTTCCCAGCTCACATGGCATTTGCTGCTTTACCAGCAAGGCCACATTTTTGCCATCTGCTGCAGGGGAAAGGGACCAAACTGCCCTTCTCTTTTGAGGATGTGGACGAGTCCATAGTTAAAGGAATTAGAACCCTAGATGTGCATTTGAAATGGATGCATTGCCAATGCTGACCGTTATATTCTCAGTTCCTTGGAAAAAAGAATCAAACTTTATCAGCTTGTCAGATTTATATTTATAAAAAAGTTGCTTCCTTTCAGAGATGGGTTGTCCTGTGGACAGAACAAGCTCAGAAATGTCCACGCTTCCTGCTTGTTTATTGTGTTGTTTTTTTGTGTCTGGCATCTCCAAAGAGCAATTAGAGATCTAGAATCCACCTAGACCTGGTTTGTGAAATAATGTGGATTTTATTTTCTGCCAGGAACTCTCATGTAAAATAACTAGTGCTTGAATCTGTACTTGTCCTTTTCCCCCTGTTTTTGTTTAAAATAATGGAATTCTCCCTATTGAATTGTAGACTTGACATTCTTAATTCCTTAATACTGTCCTATCTGTAAATTTTGTTCAGCTTACCAATGGGGGAAAATGCCTTCAATGTGTGTCACTTTCAAGTTTACTGCTGCTTCCACTTTGTTGATGGTCTTAAACTGCCTGGATTTTGCTTGCTGAAATTCATTTGCCTGCTAAGTTGGGAAATTAATACAATGCTGAAAATGGACCTGTTTTCACTCATTGATTAGTGAGAAGCTAGTGAAGTAAAGACCACCATGGATCATTGCATTCCACTTGTTTGTTGCAGAGTCTTTCATTGGTGTTAACATCGGCACAGCCCTCTCGGACATGCCAAGCCCAACTCAAGTGGTGGCTCTTCTCAAAGCTCAGAACATTCGACACGTCAGGCTCTACGATGCCGACCGAGCAATGCTTACAGCACTCGCCAACACAGGAATCCACGTCACCATTTCGGTACCCAATGACCAGATACTTGGCATTGGTCAATCAAATGCCACGGCAGCCAACTGGGTTTCCCGTAACGTGATAGCTCATGTCCCTGCCACAAACATTACAGCCATAGCAGTTGGATCTGAAGTCCTCACCACTCTGCCAAATGCAGCCCCAGTCCTAGTCTCTGCCCTAAAGTTTATCTACTCTGCCCTTGTTGCAGCTAATCTCGATGCTCAAATCAAAGTCTCAACCCCTCATTCATCTTCCATCATCCTCGACTCATTCCCTCCTTCCCAGGCCTTCTTCAACCGAACTTGGAACCCGGTAATGATTCCTTTGCTTAAGTTCTTGCAGTCCACTGGATCCCACCTCATGCTAAACGCCTATCCATACTACGATTACATCCAAGCGAATGGTGTTATCCCATTGGACTATGCCCTATTCCAACCCTTGCAACCGAATAAAGAAGCTGTGGATGCCAACACTCTTCTCCATTACACTAATGTCTTTGATGCTCTTGTTGATGCATCGTATTTTGCAATGTCCGAGCTCAACTTCACGAATGTCCCTGTTGTTGTGACTGAGACTGGTTGGCCTTCCAAAGGAGATTCTAATGAGCCAGATGCCACAACTGACAATGCAAACACTTACAACAGCAATTTGATCAGGCACGTGCTGAATAACACTGGCACTCCCAAGCATCCTGGAATTGCAGTTAGCACTTTCATTTATGAGCTTTACAACGAGGATTCAAGACCTGGTCCAGTGTCTGAGAAGAACTGGGGGCTTTTTGATGAGAATGGGGTGCCTACCTATATCTTGCATTTGACAAGTGCGGGTACTGTGCTGGCAAATGATACTGCGAACCAGACCTTCTGTGTGGCCAAAGAAGGTGCTGATCCAAAGCTGCTGCAGGCTGCACTGGACTGGGCTTGTGGACCAGGGAGAGTTGATTGCTCGCCGATGTTGCAAGGGAAACCATGTTATGAGCCGGATAACGTAATTGCTCATGCAACGTTTGCTTTTAATTCGTATTATCAAAGGATGGCTAAATCTCTTGGAGCTTGTGATTTTAAAGGGGTGGCAGCTATCACCACTACTGACCCAAGTAAGCAATTCTGTTCTCTAATGTGGAAAATGAAATGCAAAGAGTAATTTGAGGATCTAGGTCATCATGCTTCTTGATGGAAGACTTTTCATTGACAATGGAGGAAAAGGCTAAACTGTTTTAAGTTGCTGGGATCTAGAGTTACTGAGTCTTTCATATTCAATACATGCTGAAAATGAGGAAATCATGATGTCAATGAATATTGTCATATGACCTGTCATGGTTCCGTTACTTCTGCTTGCATGTCGTTCAAGTTGCTAAACATTTGTCTGGCAATGCAGGTCATGGCTCTTGTGTAGTCCTTGGAAGGTATGAACTATCTCGATATCGTATAATTCATGTAACTCCATTGCTCTAGTTTCCCCCAGTTGTCCTTTTCAAACTTAAATCTTACATATTCATTTCTCGTTGCAGTGTTGGAAGGAATGGCACTTTTACAAACACAACATCTCTGGCTCCATCGTCGAACTCTACGACTACCTCCGGCTGTCCTGTACCATACTCTGCCCCCGTAGGAGCCGGTTCTTTCACAGCCTCATTGATTATGTGCGTTTTGGTGGTGAGCATGATGGCCTTGTAGTAGATAATTCTCGTGGAATGGATCTGTATCGTAATATGCAGAACATGTGGCAGCATTCCCTTTTTTGGTCTTGCTAGATTAAGGTGTAGGAGTTTAGGGTGTTGTAATTGTAACATTTCATCTGTGCTTCAATCATGTAGGACTTTCATTTTATTTCTCGCTCCCCTGGTCTAGTTAACTGGATGACTGAACAAAGCAACTCAGAGCATCCGTAGATGATTTTTATTGTCTGTTGTAACCATTGGTTCATCATTCTTTACACTTGGTAGGAAAGTGGTTTACTTGTGTTTGGAAAGGTTTAGAAGACTGCATAAACTGGGTTCGAGTGATGGATTGGTTGGAAACATTTTGAAGCTCTAGTCACTTAACTCGAAGGACTGCAAAAATTTGAAGAAGCTTCCATGCAGCATTGACTCCTTGGAATCTTTCATTGTACTCGTTATCTCATGCTGCTCGAAGCTCGATCATCTTCATTGTGGAATAAGGATATGGGATTCCTAACTGTTCTCCATGTAGAACAACCATAAACCAACCAAGTAGCTCCATGACTCCATCTAATGGTCTGATAAATTTAAGTCTTTCAGATTGCAGACTGCCAAGCACTGCGGTTCCAAGTGATCTTAATAACCTTCCACGCCTGGAGTACTTGGCTATAAACAGAAACATATTAAGAGCCTTCCGAAAACCATCGGGGACTTGGGGTGCTCGAATATATGATTCTAAACTAGTGTGGGAAGCTCGAGTCGCTTCCTACGTTTCCGCCTAGCTTGAAGGACTTCAGGGCTAAAGACCGTGATTCACTGCAGAGCATCACCAATATGCTAATTGTATGCACAGCTCGAAGACCGCCTTGCTGACTGAAGTTAAAGGACTGTTTTAAGTTCGAATTGATTATGAGCGTCAACAGAACCCTACTCAGTGCTCAATGGTTTCGGCCTCTTCGATTCGTAATCGCTGCTATGAATTAAAGTGGAGATGGCGAATGTTTTTGGCAAAATCTCAGAGAGGGTGCTCTTCAAGGACTCATGAGTGGAATATCAAAGCATATTCATCTAGGAATGTGGTTCCAAGAGGTTTTTCTTGAGAGCTTATAAAACATTGTAGATTCCTGATGCTTTGGTCAGTAGAAACAATCACTACTTCAAAGGATAATCAATTTTTGTTAAGTATGCTCTCAGTTGGACTAGAACAAGGATTCAAGAGAGCGTGGAAACTTAAAGAACATTCAACATGGTACCATCACATTGCATTTGTCAACTGCAATAACAAAACACTGAGAATCCCAACTAGTATATCCTCTTTCGGCTGTAACTGAGAACAGAAACAGAGGTAACAAAGAGCACAAAAACGACTTAAAATAGGGAGGTTCCTTTCCCCTTCTTGTCTCCACCAATCTCAAAGTGTTTGCACCTCTGCAAACACCAAAAAAGAAAAGCCACAACCAATTGAGAACCATTCCAACAATAGAAATCAAGATAATTCGTTCAAAACTTGTAGTAAACGAATCCAACAAACCTTGATCGGGTGCTGTGAGACGTGCTTGCAACCCTGGCATTGCAGCCTCAACACAATCTTCTTCGTGGTTTTAGCCTGTGGAAGTAAAGCATAAGCATAAGTGTCAATGGAACTTAATAACGGATAAAATGGCATTCGTGGGATGTGACTTAGATTAGATCAGGAGGCCTCAGCAGTATAGGAATTGTCTTTCAGTCATGAGTATGAAACATCAGACAATGTAGGCATAACACTAATCTTCACAGGCCTCCATGCATCAATTTAGGAAAAACAGCCTTGATAAAGTGCAGAACGCTATCAACTACCAAAATGACCTAATAAAATCTGTCACTATGATTGAATTGTTCAAAACAAGAGGACTAAATACCTTCTTGTGGAAAACGGGCTTCGTCTGACCTCCATACCCTGATTGTTTCCTGTCATAACGACGCTTTCCTTGGGCAGCCAAGCTATCCTTTCCCTTCTTGTACTGGGTGACCTTGTGCAAGGTGTGCTTTTTGCACTCCTTGCTCTTGCAGTACGTCTTCTTTGTCTTTGGTACGTTCACCTGACGTGACAAACAAGCAAAACCAATTGCAAATATGAATCAAAAGATTAACTCACCTAACCAAAAGGAATACTTAAACAGATCATATGCTTTTGAAACAATCTATCCACTACATGCTCGATCCCCATTCTTCAAGAGGTAACAAGTATCCCAATTCTACAAAGGACAGCATAGGAGAGTCATTTGGAGTCTCGGCTATCCTATGGATTCTATCAACTAAGGAACAAGCAAGTTCAGACAACTAACAGGTCGAAGGAAACTGAAATGAAAGGGAACGGCACGCCGGAACCCATTCTTCCATAATAGAGCAACGATTTAAAGGAATGATCAAATTCCATAGATCAAACCAAATCATCCATTGTTTCAGCTACGAGGGCAGATAAGTACTGTAAAGCTCATCAAATTCCCTACTTCCACGTTCTTGCATTTTCATGGTAAAAATATAGTACGGAAAACGGAAAACGGGATTGATCATGAACCAGAGAGTGAGAAGAAGAACTACGCTAACTTACCATGGCTGCCTGCTCAACGATAGCTCTCCGTTTCCGGCTGCTGCGAATGCGAAACTAGGAAGTCTGAAGAACGGCGAAATCAATATATACGGGGACTTCACTAGGGTTTCGCCGATCAATTATGTTTGGGCCTCTGCTAGAAGAGAACAGACAGGCCAGGCCGAAGTCCTGATAAAGTTGCGGGAAAACACAAGCCCACTCACTCCTTATTCCCCAGTCTAGGCCCATTGGACTGAATTGATAGAAAGTACCATCACCGATTTTGGCGATTTTATGGAAAGTTCATTTCCCTTGGATTTTGAATGAGATGGATCACAGATTCGGCCTTAGCGTACTCTCCACCAACGATGAAGTCTAGCAATGGCCTATTTAGGCGGAAATTTGGTCGAATTATTTTGGAGGGCATTTTTGTAATTTTTAGGAGCTTTTTTCGAAAGGCCATTTTCCTTTAATTTTGAAGGGTGCAGATCACGGATTCAGCCTGAGGTTGTTCTTTAGGGATGGATAAGTCTACTAAACAGCGTTTCGGGCGAAAAACTTCTGGGGCAATTTTTGTCAGTTTCCAAAGGAGTACCATCACCGATTTCGGGCGATTTTATGGAAAGTCCATTTTTCTTGGATTTTGAATGCGATGCGATGGATCACATATTCAGCCTTAGGGTACTCTCCACCAACGATGAAGTCTAGAAATGGCCGATTTAGGCGGAAATTTGGTCGAATTATTCCAGAGGGCATTTTCGTAATTTTTAGGCGCTTTTTTCGAAAGGACATTTTCCTTCGATTTTGAAGGGTGCAGATCACGGATTCAGCCTGAGGCAATTCTTTAGGGATGGATAAGTCTACTAAACAGCGTTTCGGGCGAAAAACTTCCAGGGCAATTTTTGCCTATTTCCAAAGGGGTTCCATCACCGATTTCGGGTGATTTTATGAAAAGTCCATTTTCCTTGGATTTTGAATGCGATGGATCACAGATTCGGCCTTAGGGTACTCTCCACCAACGATGAAGTCTAGCAATGGCCGATTTAGGCAGAAATTTTGTCAAATTACTCCGGAGGGCATTTTCGTAATTTTTAGGTGCTTTTTTCGAAAAGCCATTTTCCTTCGATTTTGAAGGGTGCAGATCAAGGATTCAGCCTGAGGCTATTCTTTAGGGATGGATAAGTCTACTAAACAGCGTTTCGGGCGAAAAACTTTCGGGGCAATTTTTGCCAGTTTCCAAAGGGGTACCATCACCGATTTCGGACGATTTTGTGGAAAGTCCATTTTCCTTGGATTTTGAATGCGATGGATCACAGATTCGGCCTTAGGGTACTCTCCACCAACGATGAAGTCTAGCAATGGCCGATTTAGGCGGAAATTTGGTCAAATTATTCAGAAGGGCATTTTCGTAATTTTTAGGCGCTTTTTTCGAAAGGCCATTTTCCTTCGATTTTGAAGGGTGCAGATCATGGATTCAGCCTGAGGCTATTCTTTAGGGATGGATAAGTCTAATAAACAGCGTTTCGAGCGAAAAACTTCCGGGGCAATTTTTGCCTGTTTCCAAAGGGGTACCATCACCGATTTCGGGCGATTTTGTGGAAAGTCCATTTTCCTTGGATTTTGAATCCGATGGATCACAGATACGGCCTTAGGGTACTCTCCACCAACGATGAAGTCTAGCAATGGCCGATTTGGTCGGAAATTTGGTCGAAAAATTCCGGAGGGCATTTTCGTAATTTTTAGGCGCTTTTTTCGGAAGGCCATTTTCCTTCGATTTTGAAGGGTGCAGATCACGGATTCAGGCTGAGGCTATTCTTTAGGGATGAATAAGTCTACTAAACAGCGTTTCGAGCTAAAAACTTCCGGGGCAAATTTTGCCAGTTTCCAAAGGGGTACCATCACCGATTTCGGGCGATTTTATCGAAAGTCCATTTTCCTTGGATTTTGAATGCGATGGATCACAGATTCGGCCTTAGGTTACTCTCCACCAACGATGAAGTCTAGCAATGGCCGATTTGGGCGGAAATTTGGTCGAATTTTTTCGGAGGGCATTTTCGTAATTTTTAGGCGCCTATTTCGAATGGCCATTTTCCTTCGATTTTGAAGGGTCAGATCACGAATTCAGCCTGAGGCTATTCTTTAGGGATGGATAAGTCTATTAAACAGCGTTTTGGGTGGAAAGTTTCCGGGGCAATTTTTGCCAGTTCCAAAGGGGTACCATCACCGATTTCGGGCAATTTTTCCGGTGAGTATTTTCGTAATTTTTATGCGATTTTATCGAAAGGCCATTCATAAATGTTTCTATTCGTAGTTATTACTTATTAAGTTGCAACGATTCGACTTGTATTCCCCTGGGTCTCATCTGTATCGAACAACCTCGCCATCCCGAAATCTGAAATCTTTGCGTTCATCTCCGCACCCAACAAGATATTGATGGCTTTTAGGTCACTGTGAATGAACCTCAACCTAGAATCCTCGTGAAGGTAAACCATGTCTCGCGCAATCCCTCCAATTATGTTGTATCTTCTTTCTCAATTCAAATGCACTCGTTTATATTTGTCTGCATAAAAAATACATGCTTTTCAAAATGTTATCGAACGTTTAGATAAAAGCTGAATTAGTGTTTTCTTTCGTCTTCACTCGCCGAAGAGAAAATGGTCAAGACGGTCATTGAGGATGAACTCATAATCGAGAAGCTTTCTCTCCTTACAAACAGAATCCCGAAAGTCTAGCTAGATTCCTGTGTTGAAGCTTAGCCACTAACTTCGTTCTTGAATTCTAAATTTCCTTTTCTTGAATCTATCCCCAATCTCTTCATCGCCACTTGTTCTCCGTTTGACAAAACCCCCTACACAAAATCAAACATGTTATATATGTGAGGAAGTAGTTAAGTACCATATATGTGCCTCTATAAGATCCAACATAACCTTCTCCCAACAACTCGAGTTATTGGGACCAACTGTTTATGACATGATATCAGAGTCTGGTCCGGAGGATCCAGGGCGGTGGACGTCAGCTTGATGGACCCTCATTTGGTGACCTCGGGATTTGAGATTTTCATCTAGTTTGGTGAATCCACGAGAGATCCACGTTTGGGCTCATCTAGCAGATCGAGGGAGATCTGTGTTTGTCTGGTGGAGAGATCCACATCTGTTTGGCGGATCAAAGACAGTTCCGCGTCTGGAAAAATCATTGTACCGAGAAGCCCATCGATACAAGGTGTCTGGCGGATCAAGATAATCGTTGAGGTGAGGACACGAAGTTCGTGGTCCTTGTCTTGAGGGGAGGATTGTTATGGGACAATCCAAGTACCACATCGAAAATACAAGGGAAGGAACCCTTGTATATTAGTGTCCACCAAGCTCATTAGTACGAGGCCTTTTGGGGAGGATACCCAAAAGTAAAACCGTGTGGGCTGCGGTTACTGAAACCGTGTTAGTATTGGGCCTTGTTGGGACTCGTATGATTCGTTGGATTAGGGTTTTAACCCTAACTCTTCCTCTATATAAGCTTAGCTATCGACTTGTGTGATAGTAAGCCGTCACAAAGTAAACCTTATAAGAGATCAGTCGTGAGCTCTTCAGAGCTCACCGTGGATTAGTCATGTTCACGTCGAACATGGATACCACGTACAACTCATTGTTTCGTGTTTGTTTCCTTCCGCATCATCAAATTCTACATGGTATCAGAGCTGTAGATTCAGCTAGTCTTACGCACACCAGCGAAGTTCATCCCGCTAGCTTGTTCTCTTCATTAGTGACGTGTATTTCGCTGAACATAGTCAACATACGTCGTCGTCACCGACGATGGAGAAAGCGTTGTCACCAACGCATTATTCAAGTCCGTGTCAACATGCCGGAAAGGGAAGCGGGCCATGACCAGCATAACGACGACATCGATGTTGTCGCAGAGGTAGAAGAAGTTGGGTGCTCCATACGTCACAGAGGTAGAAGAAGTAAGAACTAGGAAGCAGCTGGCGGCGGTCTTCCAAAGCCAAAATTAGGGTTTCAAGCCCTCATTTAATCAATGGTTCGCGTCAGACCAAGCTAGGCCCATATGTTGGACCCATATCCTTGCTCAAAGTTTCATTTTCTCATGTGTCGTGGCTTTGCTGCATTAGAGGAATATTACAGGAGTAGAAAGGCTTAGGTTGTCCATCTCTCTGCCTAGAAGAAAAAATTCCTTTCATTTTGTGCTATCGGTTCGATATAATTCAAGATTGGAGACAACTACTTTGTGAAGTTGGGTCATCTCCATCAAGCTCTTCCAGCGGCCGATTAGTCAATTTAATATGGGCATGTCAGCTCATGTGATCTGGGCATGTCAGTGCATCCTCTTTGAGTGTTGGTTTTGTTTTTTTGAAGATATGAACTTCTCTTCATCGACAGATATCTCCAGAGGTTTGTCCACAAGTCATGTTGTCGGTTACATTGTTGCAAGCCATGCAGTAGCTGTTGTTGTTGAAGAGTGAACAACTTTTGTCAACAAAATTTTCAAGTCATCAAGCGAGGCAGTCACGATTAAAGAAGCGATCGTCCCCTCCGTATCAAGAATCGATCAATTTTAAGTCTTCATCATTCTAGCTTTCAAGCTGGGCATTCACTAATGTTCATGCTCCAGCTTGAGGGGGAGAATAGGAGGTCAACATATGTCAGTCGACTAGCTTAGTCATCAAGTCGACCGTGATGTGTGTTCCTGTTCAAGAGACACAGTAAACCGTCTCCATCATCAAGTTGTTCAAAGAGAGTCATTCGTCTCCAATAAACCTCGCCCGAGATGTTATTCATCTCGAGTTTAATTGTTCAAGCCATCATGCTTGTTCTTCACGTATCCTTCTTCAAGCTCGATATTCTTGTCATTCATGTCTTCGCTTGAGGAGCAGTGTTGCGGTTACTGAAACCGTATTAGTATTGGGCCTTCTTGGGCCTCATCTGATTCGTTGGATTAGGGCTTTAACCCTAACTCTTCCTCTATATAAGCTTAGCTATCGACTTGTGTGATAGTAAGCCGTCACAATGTAAACCTAATAAGAGATCAGTCGTGAGCTCTTAGAGCTCACCGTGGATTATTCATGTTCACGTTGAATAGGAATACCACGTAAAACTCGTTATTTCGTGTTCATTTCCTTCCGCATCATCAAATTCTACAATATATGGATCCGAAACCTTGTAAACAACTCCGAATCCGCCTTCTCTCACCGGCAAAATCGTTGGTCGCTGCTTGAATCGTTTTGAAATGGTATTGCAACCATCCTTTATTGTTGATCTCGTCCACCGCTTCCGAATTCATAAATGAATTGACTAGTGTTAAGAATCCATAAAAAAAATTTACTTGTTTCGTTGTTTAGGGGAATGTCTTTGATTCGTCTTTGTCCTCTTTGTCGCTTATGTAATGTATCTTAATGGCTTTGTGGAAAAAAAGGGTATTCTAATGGCTTACTTGCGTCTTCTTGATTACTTGGCCTCTGTTTATGGATTGTTGACCTCTTCACTCTCCGGCGACTGTAGAAGAAAAAGACGAAAATGAAGCTGTTGAGGGAATTACGAAGATAGGCCCAAAGCCGCCCAATAAGAAAGGAGAGGGTACGTCATGGGCCCAGTCCACGAATTGGTTCGCGAGGCCAAGTCTAGGTGTAATATAGGAAGGCAGGAGACAAGGTTCAGAAGACTCCAAGAGAGTGCGGTCTGGGCGCCTTGTACCTGTCAGAGGTCTGACAGGTTGGTCGGGGCGCCCAGCCTGACAGAAGTACGAAGTATTAAATACGATGCTGACATGGAACTAGGTTGAAGAAACCTGGTTCAGGGTTGGGTGAGTATAAATAGTGTCAGTAGATAGCATTTACGCAGGTTAGATTCTCTCACTAAACACTAGAGCTTGTGACTTCTGTCTCTAAAATCTAAACTGATTTGATCGTCGGAGGATTAAAGGGCCCAGGCGGCCCCCTCCGTGTGGTGTGTGCAGGTCAGGTACCCAGGACTCATCACACGAGGAGAGAGCATGTGGGGAATTGGACTCCAAAGTATCTCGGCTCAAACAGAAGCCGAGCACCGCGGCGCCGACGACAGGAACTACAATAGCTATGATTCTGCGAGAATTCTCACTTCCTTTGCCCCTGCACACACACACACAAAATCGAACCCGGAGGTCAAGTCAGATTCTCCGATCCAGATGGAATCAAGCTCTAATGGATCTACATTCTATAACCTTACCTTCTGGAGGCGGCGACGGAGAAAAAACCGGCGGTGTAGGCGGCGATACGGTCGGAGAGGGGGCGGCGCCGCCGTCTCGGCATGAAATCGGTAAGTCTCGAATCTCAAATTGCAAGTCGGTTGGATAACTCGTCCGCCGACTTTCCCGCCGCAGCAATTCGGGATCCGGCCGACGGCTCCGACAAGGCAGTCCTCACACTGCTGTGCCGACAGATCCGGCAAGCACTACACAAGAGCGAATATCGTCACGAACCCTTGCCGCGCCGTCCCCGTGGCGAACTTCCGCACGGAGCTTCCGCCCGCCGCCTCAGTCCACAGCTGGGCCAACAGGGAATCCAAGGCGGCGTTGAATTGGGCCGGGTCGGATGCATTGTTGACGTTCCACATGTAGTAAATGACGGGCGGGCCCACGTCGAGGTTTCCTTGGATGGACCGGTTTTTTTTTTTTTTTTTTGCCAATAAGTCACTCAATTAAGAGGAATAATAATGTACAAAGTTAACGGGTACATAGCCAATGAGCAAAGTCGAACCTCGAGAACAAGTGAGGCGACAGTAATAGGGCATGACGAGCTACCAAGTGAGCCGCCCTATTTCGAACACGTCCAACAAACCGAACATGGTAATTACAGTGCTCCCTAACCAAATGAGCAATTTCAATCAACAAAGAACCAACCTTCGCATCATGAGTGATCCCATTATTGCAATGATCGATAAGAACTTTCGCATCCCCCAGAAACAAGGCCGATTCCAACCCTTCGTGCACACAGTAGCGCATAGCATCGCGCAAGGCCAGAGTCTCAATGATCATCGGATCAGTAGTATTTGGATACTGATGAGCAAAAGCATGAAGAATGGTCCCAAGATGATCTGTTATCACAACGCCAATTGTTTCCAAAGAATCAGCAGCAGTTGCACCATCAAAATAAACCCTCTTAGCAGTCTCCAACCCAAAAGGGATACTTAATGAATGAAGCATGGGGGTAGTAGGAGGCGGAGCCAGAGAAGTCGAGGTAGCAGAAGAGAGAAGAGCCACATCAACCTCCCGCACTTGATACGCCCATTGAGAAGCTAAAACTTGTGGGAACACCTGAAGTTGTTGGAAATGCACCATACATCTGTTCTTCCAAATGCGCCACAATAATGAAGTGACCTGCAACACAAAAAACTTGGAGTCCTCGTTTTCCTGCAAGAACAGCAGCTGGCGGAGAAAAGAGGTAATAAACCTGGTATCCCAGTGCACAAGAACATGAGACAAGCCAACCAGTTCCCAAAGATTAAGAGCGATCGGGCAACGAAAGAAAAGATGTTCAATGGACTCTTCTTCTCGCCTGCAAACATGGCAGATATCAGGAATGTCAAGTCCACGACTAATTAAGCCTTCTGTGGTGGGAACAATCCTGCGAATTAGTTGCCATAGAAAAAACTTAATCTTAGGCTGAACAGAGAGGGACCATAATTTATTCCATAAGCGAGATCCAGCCGGGGAAACCTGAATACGGACTCGAGTAGGAGGAGATAGGGAGAAAGCAAGATGATAAGCAGTCTTAACAGAGAACAAACCTGTTGAATCATAATGCCAAATCAACGCATCTGAACATGAGTGAAATGGCAATGGAATTGAGGTTATAAGTTTCACAGATTCGGGAATGAAGTAGGCAGACAAAGCACCAACATTCCAAGAATGGGAAGCAGGGTCAATAAAAGCTGAAACTCTAGCCAAAGAAGGCACAACACCACGACGAAGAATCGGACGAGAAGGCGGAGTGGTAGGGAGCCAAACATCATGAAAAGCACTTACCTCTTCGCCGGACCCAATCTGCCACCTTAAACCACGCTGCAAAAGATCTCTTCCATGAAGGACACTCCTCCATCCCCAGGATGGATTAGACCCTAACGAAGCATCCATAATCAAAGAAGAGTGACGATGGTACCTACCTCGGTACACCCTGGGTAATAGACTAGTAGGATCATTGAGAAGACGCCAACTGATTTTAGCAAGAAGGGCTTGATTAAAAGCAATGAAATCCCGAAATCCAAGGCCACCTTCAGACTTCGGAGCACACAGACGCCGCCAAGATAACCAGTGAAGTCGTCTTTGACCCTGAACAGCCCCCACCAGAACCGAGCAATAATAGCATTTAACCGTCGCAACAAAGTGAGAGGCAGCTTGAAACAGCTCATGACATGAATGGGAAGGGCAGCTGCAACAGATTTAATTAAAGTTTCTTTTGCAGCAGGGGAAAGCAACCGATGTTTCCAGCCTTGCAACCGAGATAAAAGGACCTCCTCAACATACCTGAAAGTCTCTTGTTTTGAACGCCCAAGCAGAGAAGGTAACCCCAAGTAACGATCTTGAGTCCCAATAGATCCAACACCAAGAATACTTCCCAGACTACTCTGATCAACTGAGGTCAGATTCTGACTGAAAAACACTGCAGATTTGGACAAATGAACCCTTTGACCACTAATTCGTTCATAATCCCGCAGAAGCTGCAACAGTTGAGAACATTCAGAAGGGGAAGCCCTAAGAAACAAGTATGAATCATCGGCGAAAAAAAGATGCGAAATGACCGGGGAATGCGGACCCATACGAAGCCCATGTAAACGTTTAGACTGAATGGCTTGATTCAACATAGCAGAAAGACCCTCCGTAGCAAGAGCAAACAGAAGCGGAGATAGAGGGTCTCCCTGACGTAAACCCCGAGAAGAAGGGAAATACCCCGCAGGAGTACCATTAACCATGATCGAAAAAGTGGAAGTAGTCACACATTGGGAGATCCAGTTGATCCAAAATGGGGAAAATCCTAGTCTGTGCAACAAGGAGAAGAGGAAAGGCCACTCCAAACGATCACGCCTTCTCCATGTCAAGTTTCAAAGCCATGAATTTCTCCCGACCTTGCCGCCTGTTTTTCAAGAAGAACATGGCTTCATGTGCAACCAAGATATTATCGACAATCTGCCTATTCCTCACAAACCCGTTCTGTTCAGAACCCACCACGTGAGGCAAAACATCACCCAACCGAGTCGCAATAATCTTAGTAATCACCTTGTAAATGAACTGACACAAGCTTATAGGGCGCAACTGAGACATACGCTCAACGGATTCAACCTTTGGAATTAGAGTTACCCAAGTGTGATTGAAACTCTTAAACATATGCCCAGATTCGAAAAAGGAAGAGACAGCTCTAACAACACTGTCACCTACTATATCCCAGAAAGACTTGAAGAAAACACCAGTAAACCCATCCGAACCCGGTGCACTACACTCATCCATGCGAAAAACAGTGCCCTTGATCTCTTCATAAGAAACAGGACGCAACAAAGCAGAATTCATTTCCGAAGTGACAAGGCGAGGAAATGCCATACCTGAAATGACCGATTGAATCTGATCCGCTTCCTCTTGACTAGCAATCTGGGTGCGGAAGAGGTCTTGAAAATGGGCCACAGCCACCCCTTGCTTTCCAGCTTCCGAAGCCGACCTGATTGGCGCAGTTCGAGATGACGAATGGCGGCGGCTGGGCGATTGTGCAAGAGGGTAGGAACAGTAGTAGTTGAAGAATGACGAGGAGGTGAAGAAGGGGAGGATGGATTGAGGGTCGAGAACTCATTGGCGGAGAAGAAGAAGCCATGGAATTTGGAGTCTTTCTGTTCATTTTTTTCGTTTGCTCTGTTTCTGACCAAAGTCTTCCCAATTTCGAGAGCCATGAATCTGGGCAATAGCCAATAGCTGTACTAATCAACCTGTTACAGGCGTGGAATAGTATATTGCTTGAATACTATTATTTTCCATGTGATTATTCCTAGACATACTCGAATCCTATATCGTTCGAAATGTAATACTTGATTGTTATAACATACTTTCTTCTCTCGAATTAATTTAGACAATATTTTTTCTTAAGTATTCAACATTGTCAGGCAGATTCGTCATGGATACAATTCTTGAAGCATTTATGAGTATCGGAGATGATATTTGGTATTCTAATACGAACTCAGACTGTACTTTCTTGGTCCATCTTTCAGATACTTCTGTTGTGTAATAGTCGAACAGAAAATCAAAACGCAGGTAGGAATTGTTTATAGAGAAAACTGGGGATTGTGATTGTTGTGGATTGATTGGTGATAGTGACGTCAGTGGTGGAAGACCAACGACGACGCGGGGCATAGCAAGTCAAACGGGCATGGTTTACGTATCTTGAAAGATATAGGGGTCGTTTGGATGGATCAATCTAGAAATGAGTCAATTTGATCAATTGTCTCATTTTATAAATGAGGCAATTAAAACGAGTCAATTCGAATTACCTGCCACCACCCCAGGTAATTGAAATTGACTCAAAACGGATCAATTCAAAATACCTCAGGCAGATTGATCTATCAAAACCTTTTGTTGGCAAACGAGGCAATTTGATACAATTATCTCAAAATGAGACAATTGTGTCAAATTGATCCGTTACAATTCCTCATCCAAACAACCCTCCTATTTACTCTCTTGACTTTTCTGACGAGTTCTTCGGGCCACCTTGGAGGCAACTACTCCAACAAGCAGCCAAATAAATCGTAAAAATGCGTAGGATACTCATATAACTACAAGAGATTATCCATGCTCGAGCCACCTTGGAGGTAACTATTCTTCTGCCCGCTCACAATCTCCAACTCCAAAACGAGCACTCCAAAACTAAACACGTCCGACTTTATCGAGAATTGCCCGTGCATTGCATACTCCGGAGCCATGTATCTGATAATGTGATCTGTTCCTGCACTTTAGGCTTCTTGTTAGTTGTTACTTTGTGGAACATTGTACTCCATTATCTCCTCCACTTTTCACTCTTTCTGTTGCTTTTCCTCCGCTGTGCTTTCTGCTTCATTGTACTATATAAACAGAGATATCAATAATAGCAAACTCAAGCCTTTGAGCTCATTCATGGTATCAGAGCCTACCTAAACTCTCACGAGTCAAATCCCCTTTCTTCTCTTCTCTCTGTTCTGCTGTTTCGCCACCATGGCCACCGAATCCTCCTCAATTTCTTCCTCTACTGCTTCAGGCGACTCCACCCCTATGTCGTCCACTCTCTCTGCCATTTCTCTCCCAGCCAATCCCCAACTCAGTGTCAAACTCACACCAACCAACTACCTTCTATGGCATGCCCAAATCACTCCGCTTCTTCGTTGTCATTGTTTGATGGGTCATGTCGACGGTTCTCTTCCGGCGCCGCCGCAAACTGTTGATGGCCAATCCAATCCACCATACTGGACTTGGTATCAAAGAGATCAGTACGTCCTAACTTGGATCAATTTTTCCCTCTCTGAGTCTGTGTTGCCCAATGTCATCAACAAGACAACTGCGTTTGATGCGTGGTCAGCTCTTGCAACCATATATGCCTCCGGTTCGCAAATCCAGATTCGACAGCTCACCAAGGATCTCCAACACATCCGCCGCGGCAACACCAGCATCCATGATTACCTTCAAAATGCCAAAACCAAGGCGGATCAATTGGCGGCTCTGGGACCCCCTGTCAAAAACGATGATCTCACAGCTTGGATCCTCGATGGTCTGGGTGAAGACTATCGGCCTTTTGTACGCCATATTGAAGCAAGGATGGAGCCAATTAGCTTCGAAAATCTTCACTCTCTTCTGTTAAGTGAGGAACTGCAGATCAAGCGATATTCGTACTCGTCGGAATCTTCGGCGCCTTCTGCCTTCTTCACCAGCGCCGGTGGATTTCGAGGTCGCGGGAGTCGAGGGAGAGGCCGCAGCGCCGGCCGTGGCCGTTTCCTTTCTAACCCTTCGTTTGCTCCTTCTTTTCTTGGCAGGTCGAGCCCAACAGGTGGGTTACTAGGCCCTCGGCCCAATGGTCCCAATGTGCTGGTCTGTTACAATTGTGGGGGTAGAGGACATGTTAAATCTCATTGCCCAAGCCCATACTCCATAGCTCAGCAGGCTCAGCCCAACTTCATAGCCCAGCTAGCCCAACAGCCCTATCATACACGCCCTCCCTCTGCTGCACTTGGCCTACACACTTTCTTTTCTTCCTCCCCCGCCCAACACTTGGACCCTCAACAATGGATCCTTGATTCAGGTACAAATCATCATCTCACCTCGGATTTAGACAATCTCGCTCATCACTCGGAGTACAATGGGACTGATAACGTCAAATTTGGCAACGGTAATTCTCTTCCTATCTCACATTTTGGCTCTTCCACGATTTCTTTATCCAATGTTTCTCTTTCCTTGGATAATATTCTTCATGTGCGTCGTGCTCCATACAATCTTCTTTCTATTAGTTCCCTCACTCGGTCTAATCCTATATCAATTGAATTTTTTGATTCTCTTTTTCTCATAAAGGACCGACGCACGGGGCATGAACTTCATCGTGGCTTTGCGGTAGATGGTCTCTACTCTCTTCCCATCCATATCTCTCGGCATCTCTCTCCCATCGCTTGTGTGGCTTCGTTTGACACTTGGCATCGTCGTCTTGGGCATGCTCATACATGTGCGGTCAAGCAAGTCCTTAACCAGCGTCAAATAAAATATGATCCCTCTCCTCCCTCCTTGTGTCACGGCTGTGCCGTTAGTAAGATCCATAAGTTACCCTTTTCTACTTCCACATTTCAGGCTCAAGCTCCCCTCGAACTAGTTTGTAGTGATGTATGGGGCCCTGCACCTATTTTGTCTTACGATGAGCAATCCTATTACATTCTTTTTTATGATCACTATAGCAAATTCTCGTGGATTTATTTCATTCGCTATAAGTCGCAATTGCTTAATGTGTTTATTCAATTTCGGCAATTAGTTGAAAAATTCTTTGGTCTTCCCATCAAAACTTTTCAATATGATTGGGGTGGTGAATATCAGGCATTATCCACTTATCTCTCTCAAAATGGTATTGCTCATCGCTCCTCGTGCCCTTACACTCCTGAACAAAACGGGTGCGCCGAACGTAAGCACCGCCATATTGTTAACAATGACCTTGCTCTTCTTCATCAAGCCCATGTTCCCTTGAAATACTGGCCTCTCGCCTTCGACACAGCTTGTTATCTCATAAATCGCACTCCCACTCCGCTCCTTGATCATGATTCTCCGTTTCATTTTCTTTTTCAACGTGAGCCGGATATCTCCAATCTTCGTGTTTTTGGGTGTCTCTGTTACCCTTGGCTTCGTCCTCTTACTCCGAATAAGTTAGCTCCTCGATCTGTTCCATGTGTCTTTCTTGGGTACAGCAAATTACACAAAGGTTACCGCTGCCTTCACATTCCTGCTGGACGTATCTATGTTAGTCGCCATGTTTTGTTTGATGAGACGCAATTCCCATTTTCCGAGGTACCCATCTCTATTCCCTCTACTGGCTCGAACCCCATTATTCTTCCTTCCCCCATTAATAATCATGTTCAGCTTCCTCTGCCCCCCCAGTTCGTCCAACCCTCCCAGCCCACATCCTCTTCTTTACACCAGCCCACCTCTCATCCCTCTAGGTCCCCACCTCCTGATGCCCAGCCCATTTTAGTGCATACCACGGCCCTTCCTCTAACTCGGCCCACTTCCCCATCCACCACTGCTCCTACCCAACCATCCCCCACAGCCCACAATCTTCTTTCTCTACCTCGGCCCGCTTCCCCATCCTCCTCTGCTCCTACCCAACCATCCCCCACAGCCCCCAATCTCCAACCCAATTCCCCTGCCTCGATACCCGCCGCATCCCCAAACCATTCCACCCTTCGTCCTCGCACCCCTCTCCCACCCCGTCGAGAAATTGCCAACCGACCTCCCTTTTCCACTTCTCCTCGTCTGCTCACTGTCACCCACCCCACCAGTTCCAATCATCCAATGGTAACCCGAATCAAGACAGGAAACCTCAAACCCAAGTCCTTTCTCACTCATCTCCACATCGATGATACCCCCACGACAGTCAAACAGGCTCTCAAGAACCCACTCTGGCGCTCGGCTATGCAAGAAGAAATCACTGCCCAGCATCGCAATCAAACCTGGGATTTGGTTCCCCCTCCACCAAACTGCAACATACTCTCTAATAAGTGGGTTTATCGCACCAAGCTCCACCCCACCGGCTCCTTGGATCGTCACCGAGCTCGTTTGGTTGCTCGTGGGTATGAACAGATTCCGGGTCTGGATTTTCAGCAGACTTACAGCCCTGTTCTCAAACCAGCAACCCTTCTTCTGATTCTCGGGCTTGCGGTTACACAGGAATGGCCTCTCCATCAAATTGATATTGCTAATGCCTTTCTCCATGGTGAGTTACAGGAAACGGTGTATATGCAGCAACCAGCTGTTTTCGTTGATCCCGACAAGCCCGATCATGTCTGCCGCCTTCCAAAATCCATCTATGGCCTCCGTCAAGCACCAAGAACTTGGTTTAGCTGTCTTGCTGGGGCTCTTACTCAATTTGGCTTTGCTGTTTCCAGGACTGATCCTTCTCTATTCATCTACAAATCTGGTTCTACAAGGGTATATATGCTTGTCTATGTCGACGATATCGTCATCACGGGTAATGACTCATCCTTTATTCAGCGGCTCTTTGCCTTTCTCCGTGATAACTTCGCTCTTCGTGAGTTGGGTTCCCTGTCATATTTCCTGGGCATAGAGGTATGCCGCACAACCACTGGGATTCTTCTTCGCCAACGCAAGTTTATTCAAGACTTACTTGAACGTGCACATATGTCCGAGGCTAACGCGATCTCCACACCCTGCACAACCGACATTGTTCAGCAATCAACCCTGTCTTCCTCGCCTTTATTCTCGGATCCCGCCATGTATCGCAGTCTCGTTGGTGGTTTACAGTATCTTAGCTTTACCCGGCCAGATATTGCTTTTGCTGTCAATCATGTCTCACAATTCCAGCACTCTCCCACAGACAATCACTGGTCGGCTGTCAAGCGGATTCTACGCTATTTGAAGGGCACTCTTGATCGTGGGCTGGTAATTTCTAAATCTCCTTCTCTTCATGTTCACGGCTACTCGGATGCCTCGTGGGCGTCGTGTCCTCAAGATCGCAAGTCCGTCACTGGGTTCACTGTATTCTGCGGTTCCAATCTGGTTTCTTGGTCTACTCGAAAGCAAAAGTCTGTTGCGCGTTCATCCACAGAATGTGAGTATCGTGCTCTGGCTACGCTCGCTTCCGAGGTCCTCTGGTTACAGTCATTACTCGCCGAATTGGGTCAGCAGCTACCCTCCGCCCCAGCCCTTTGGTGCGACAATCTTGGTGCTACCTTCCTTGCTCATAATCCGGTGTTTCACAACCGGTCGAAGCACATGGAAATTGAATTCCATTTCGTGCGTGACCAAGTCAGCAAAGGGCAGCTCCGCGTTCATTATCTACCGGCTTCGGATCAACTTGCGGATGTGCTCACCAAACCATTGTCCCGGCAGCCGTTCGCCAAGTTCTGCTCCAAGTTTCGACTCTCCGAGTCTCAACTTGCGGGGGGTGATAATGTGATTGTTCCTGCACTTAAGGCTTCTTGTTAGTTGTTACTTTGTGGAACGTTGTACTCCATTATCTCCTCCACTTTTCACTCTTTCTGTTTCTTTTCCTCCGCTGTGCTTTCTGCTTCATTGTACTATATAAACAGAGATATCAATAATAGCAAACTCAAGCCTTTGAGCTCATTCAGTATCCACTGAAAACACAGACAGAAAATTTTCATCAAATCACATTGATCAACGACATTCGACATATATAAACCATGAGCGCACACTTGCATATTCCATTACTTATTAGGTCCCGACAATTCTGTTCGTATTTGCCCGAGTCTCGTCCATATCAAACAGCCTCGCCATCCCGAAATCTGCGATTGTCGGTCGTCTTCTGCAGTAGGACTGTAGGAGAAAATGAGAAAGTCAACCATTTGATTTTCCGACGCGGGAGCCTGATCCTTTTGACTTCAGCTCTCCCTCTTTCTCTCTCTCTCTGCATCTTCTCCTTTTTCTCATTCTCACCTCCACACACACAAAAAAAAAAAAAAAACTCCATTCCTTCTTTCCTCTGTAATGGCTGCTGCGTCCGCTTCCTCTTCTTCCGCCCGGTACAGGTACCACGTGTTCCTGAGCTTCAGAGGCGGGGACACCCGGCGGAACTTCACCGACCACCTCTACACGGCTCTGATGAAGGCCGGAATCAACACTTTTAGAGACGACGACGCGATTGAGAGAGGGTCCCACATCGAATCCGAAATCAATACCGCCATTCAAGAGTCGAGAAGCTCCATCGTCGTGCTCTCCAGAGACTACGCCTCTTCCAGATGGTGCCTCGACGAGCTCCGTCTCATCATGAAACTGAGGAGAACTGCGGGCCACATTGTGCTGCCCGTTTTCTACGATGTCGACAAGCGCCAAGTCCAGAATCAGAGTGGTAGCTACGGTGACGCGTTTGCCCGCCATTTGGTTGAATTTGGCCAGAATGAGATGGGTATGGTTGAGGAGTGGAAGGCTGCCCTTACTGAAGCTGCTGGCATTGGAGATTTGGTTCTCAGAGATGGGTAAGTAACTATTCACTTCCTAGGTTTTGGACTTTTGGTCAATTAGACACATGATTGCTGCTGCGCCAACATTGATTGAATCAGGATTCGAATTCAATAGGTCTTATTTTGAATTTTGTCCTGTGGGTGATGATTGCAGCTATGAGTCTGAGTTTATTCAAAGTATAGTCACAGCGATTGCCAGGAAACTGAACCGAACAGTGCTGACTGTGGATCCCTATTTAGTGGGGATAGATGATCGTACAGCTAATATCAACTCATGGCTCCAAGATGGGTCGAACGATGTTGGCATAGCGACAATCTATGGCGTTGGTGGGATTGGGAAGACAACCATAGCAAAAACGGTATACAACCAGAACTATGACAAATTTGAAGCCACCAGCTTCCTTGCTGGTGTGAGAGAAGCTTCCGAGGAGCCACATGGTTTGGTCCGCCTGCAGAAGCAGCTGGTTTCCGATCTCTTGAAGACGAAAAGCAAGATTTACAGCGTCGATGAAGGTACATTGAAGATCAGAAATGCCATCTCTCGCAAGAGGGTTCTACTTGTTCTTGATGATGTGGACCGAATGGACCAGTTCCATGCAATAATTGGAATGAGAGAGTGGCTTTACCCGGGGAGTAAAGTGGTTATAACAACTAGATATGAGAGTTTACTGAAGGCTCGTGAAGTGAATCGCATCTTTACAGTGAACGAGCTGGATGTAGAAGAATCGCTTAAGCTGTTCAGCTGGCATGCATTTGAGCAAGATCAGCCTGCTGAAGCCTTTGTGGAGGTCTCTAGAAGTGCTGTGGAGTTTTGCACCGGGCTGCCTCTAGCTCTTCAAGTTCTGGGCTCATCTTTGTCGGGTAAAAGTTTGGATATATGGGAGGTTGAGCTACAGAAAGTTAAAGCAGTACCGGACAGTAAAATCCAGTATATTCTCAAAGTAAGCTACGATACTCTTGATGATGATCATGATAAGAATGTGTTTCTTGATGTTGCCTGCTTCTTTACTGGAAAGGACAAAGATTATGTAGTCTCTGTGCTAGATGGATGTGGCTTCTACTCAGTTGTTGCGATTCACAATCTTATGATTAGGTGTCTTGTGAAAGTTGACGAGGAAAATAAGTTGCTGATGCATCAAATGCTGAGAGACATGGGGAGAGAGATTGTTCGTCAAGAATCACCTGAGGATCCAGGGAAGCGTAGTAGATTGTGGCGTCACAAAGATGCATTTACTGTACTGACTGAGGATCAGGTAAAGTGTTTTACTTCTCTTTTTATGATCTCTTTGAAACACATGATTGCATACACTCATTAATGATTTTTACTCCCCTATGCAGGGCACTGAAAGTATCAAGGGTCTCAACTTGAACTTGCTGATGTTAAGGGATCCCAATCTTGGTGCTGGCACCATTGTCCCTTACCAAGGAAACTATCCAAAGCATGGCAAAGTTGGCTTCTTTCCTTGGTATGCAAATGGGTCTGGAAGTTCAGTAATCCTCAAGCCAAGGGCCTTTGCTAAGATGGGAAAACTGAAGTTGCTCCAACTCAATTACGTGAAAGTTGGTGGGGATTATGGCAACTTCCCGAAAAGCTTGGTATGGTTATTTTGGCGTGGATTGTCCTTGAAATATCTGCCAGAAGACTTTCACTTGGAGAAGCTTGTTGTTCTTGATATCCGTAACAGCAGGCTGGTAAATCTTTGGAAAGGGACCCGGGTATGTATGAGTTTGTATTCTCCTACTTTACTTTTACACTCTGTCTGCCAGTAGTACTTATATGCTTAAATTCTTGCATATAACTGAAGATCTAATTGTTGAGAGAAATTTTCCCTTTTGCAACAGTTCCTTGTAAAACTGAAAGTGCTCAACCTCAGTCATAACCCTGGTCTTGTTAGGACTCCTGACTTCCGAGGACTTCCTTCTCTAGAGACATTGAAGCTGAAAGATTGTGTGAAATTGGTGGAAATTGATGAATCCATTGGAACCCTTCAGAAGCTCATTTCTCTAAGTCTAAAGCAATGCACAAACTTAATGAAGTTGCCAAAACAGATCAGTTCATTGAAATCCCTCAAGAAACTCAATGTATCAGGCTGCTCAAAACTTCATCAATTGCCAAATGAGTTGAGGGAAATGGAATCACTGAGGGTCTTTTATGCTGATGGAATGGGTATAAATAATCAGCTCTCTGATTCAAAAGGATCTTGGTATTCTGCCTTGGTGTCTCGGATATTGCCTCGAAAGAATCCACATTCAATCAGCTTTTCACTTGCAGTTCTGCCTTCCTATTTGCTGGAGTTGAGTCTAGCAGATTGCAACTTGTCTGATGGGTCTCTTCCAGGAGATCTCAGCTGCCTCTCCGTGCTGCAAAATTTAGACCTCAGAGGAAACCTCATTAGTTCACTTCCTGGAAGTATTGACAAGCTGACTAAGCTCGAGTCCCTCACCTTAGACAGATGCACAGGTCTCCAGTCACTACCGAAACTTCCACTGAGCTTGGAGGAATTGAAAGCTGAAGGCTGTACATCACTGCAAAAGATCGCCAATCTACCAAACTTGCTCATAAATCTCCAAGTGGAACTTTTTGGTTGTAGCGAGCTAGCTGAAGTGGAAGGCTTGTTCAAGTTGGAGCCAATCGCAGATGTCGACAGTGAAACACTGCACGAACTTGGCTTATTCGATTTCGAACCACTCCAAAGCATTGAAATTACCATGTTCAATTCCATTGCAAACAGAGAAAGGCAGACTTCTCCTCAGGTTCGCAAATCCATCCTTCAACCTTAACTGGTCCCTAGTCGGCTAGTTTCATCTAACTACTCGACTCTGAACTCTGCTTCAGGTACTGCGGGAATGTGGCATATCCAGCACTTTCCTTCCAGCTAGCCAGCTTCCTGACTGGTTGAGCGATACAACCATGGGGTCTTCACTCTCCATACAAGTGATTCCCCCTCCTAGCTCCACTCACGAGATGCGCGGCCTAACTTTATGCGTTGTATATGCTCGCGACGAGGAGGTATTCTGGCTGCACGCAGCTGGACATTACGCCAACGTCCATAACGAGACAACGGGTATAAACTGGTCATATAGCCCAACCTTCTACGGGATCCCAGACGAGGATGGTGATGAAGAAATGGTTTGGCTGAGCCACTGGAAGTTTGGAGACGAGCTGGAAGTAGGGAACAAGCTGAACATTTCAGCTCGGATGCCTGCTGGATATTGCGTGAAACAGTGTGGTGTTCGTGTAGTTTACAGCGACGAGGAGGAAGACGACACAGAAGGTCAATCAAATAGGTCTGTCTGGGGAAGTAATAAGATTACTGACAGAGACTTGTATGCGTATCAGGTGGGAAGGTCTGTTTACTTCCTTCACCATCATCCTTATACGACGCCAGCTGATATATTGAAGTTGGCAGTGGCGGATCCAGGGGGTCCACGGCCCAGCCCTCCTCTGGATTCAAAGTTAGTATAGCCCTTATAAATTTTTCGATTTTAGATATTCGGCCTAGTGTATTTTATAATTATAAGATTGTGTGTAACTAGAAAAATGGTTTAGATGAATATATTCAAATCACTACTCTAAATTTGGCCTAGAAATTCTATCCTCAATGATTTTGCCGGTTGCTTAACTATTTTATTTGAAAGAGAGTGTATTATTAGTATGGATATAGACTCCATTATTGACGAATTCACTAAATTTGAAACTGTCGTGTACAATTGACTTGTAAAAAAACTACGGTTGTTATATTTTTGTACGCTTTCTAATTTTCTAATGAAATGCGGCCCAATACTCTGCTATATCCTGGATCCGCCGCTGCTTGAAATTGGCCAGTTTGTGACTTCCTTCCTCCAAACTGTTCTGCAGCGAAGGAATCCGAAGGTGCATGCGCCGAACTCTTTGTTTCCTGTCGTACTTTCTCAAACAAAAACAGTTGTAATATATTAGTTTCTTACGGCCATGAAGTGCGGGCAAAAAAGTAGTTGTCAAATGTCAAGTTATGTCGTAAATTCATTGTATCTACTCCAAATCATCACTTCTAATGTTATTTTTTTATTTATGTAAGATATGACAATATAGTACAACAAAAAAATGACTACCCAAGAAACCCCTCTCCAATCCAGCAACAAAAATAAATGAGAGCAACTCTAAATTAGATAGAGGAAGGGTTTTTCAGGTCACAATATGGGCAACTCAATTGACGATCTTAGGATCGCACAAAACTTCAAGCCTATGTTTAGAGCAGCTACTATTTATAGGCAGCCTTTGAGAATCGATCATCGAATCACATCGAATCTATCCCTCTAAGAAGCTGGCAAATGGCAACTTCGGGATCTCTCTTTGACCATTGACTCCACGGACGTAGATGTTACGAATCAAGAGCATATCGCCTCGCGAGCGACTAACAGTTAGGCCAGGTCCAGGTTGATAATTCCAGGAAGCTGAAGACCAAATCAAATTGTAGAAGATCATCTGTGAACTTCACCACCAAATCTGAAGCACAACCTCGATAAGAATAGACATCAGCATCGAAGACATAAACTAAGGTGTGCTTGGTGCCCTTGTTAGAGTAAAGAATTAGAAGTTAGAACACTCCACCAATACAGATCCAACGGTAGGGCCAAATTGGCAAATTCTCATCAGAAGAGGCAATCATTATTTGTGGCCCTAAAAGGTCCAACGCCCCCCCAACTTGGAGTCTTTTCAATAATGGTAACCACTTAGTATTTTACATCATTAGAATAGTAGAATACAGACCATCTAGTCCAACAACAAACTCATTCATTCATGATTCTTAATATGCGTCACCATGAGAGGTTCAAAGTTGAAACAAATTTGATGAGCTATCATTCATGGAAAAATGGGACACTGTATCTGTTAATTGATCTACTGCCACTTGTTTTATATGTTGTAATTGTCTTTGTAAAAAGAAAAAAACTGTCTTGGTTCATCCTTAGAAACCTATTCAATTCTATTTTACTAACTACTACCTTTTTATGATAAGAGAATTCTTCGTCATACAAGTTGAAGAGTGGGTACATGGGTCGGGTGCTTGACATTAACAAACCATTAATAATATGATTTGTTTCTCTAGCTCCTGTCACGATGATGTCGGCTTCTAGGGTTTGTACATTGATTTTAGCTTCTTTTTGGGTTCCTTGTGGATTTTCTACATTTTTTTTTTTTGGGATTTTTGGCCCTTATTCACTATTCCTCTGTAAGTGCAAATCTTATTCATTTTGTTAATTAATTATCTAGTTAAATGATATATTATTTTCATATCGTCTAAGCAAAGTTGTCAAAATGTACGCCATTTGAGATTTTTGTAAAATCTTCCGTTTTGTTGTTAGAATTTGTTATTTTGAATATTTAACGAAAGTATTTGTTCAACTTTTTATTCGTGTGGTGTGATGCAAATAAACCATATTATTAGCATGCATGTGCTGTAGTACGATCAAAAGATTTAAAATTTGAGTATGCAGGAAAACAATGAAGTGGAACAACAAAGCTGAAAAATGTGCTCCTAAAGTACAAAAGTGATCCTCCAAGCCTGATAATGCCACTAATTATTACGGCTCCTTTCACTATTACCACTAATCCCCTAACACGTGTACGGCGATCCCGATATCCTGCGAAATAATATTCTCCGCCAACAATGAATAGAGAACAAAACTGAAAACTCTAATAAGAAGAAATAATAGATAATAAAATTGTATAATGACAAACACAATTATATAAGAAAAGAACAACCATAAAATAAAAACAAGTAGGTGGAAGAATATTCTAAAAAAGGAAGGCCAAGAGAAACGCAAAAAGAAATCTACGTAGTAGAGTATAATACAAAATGAGTTAATGCGATTTACAATCCTCGCATTATATCGTTTTAGCAAATATGTCACTCTATAATTTGTCATATAGAGAATTGATAATATGTCAACACTCATATTTGTTTCATGACAAATCGAGATTGAATTTTAGTATTTTATCTCAGGACACTTGTTATGGAGGGTTGACTCATTCAAGTATGCACCTCAAGAAATAATACTCAAACAAATTAATTTTTTGGCCAAAAAGTCTAGAAACACTTGCTTAACGAAATACAAAATAATATATATGATGACTGAAGTCAAATTATTCAAAAATGGAAACTCCAATTAACAGTAGCTACATTTGAGTTATAATATGATATAAGAAAATTTAAACTATAAGTAATTTGACTGCATTATTATATGTCAAAGATAGAAAATGGATTGAGAATGAGGCATGGCAACATGATAACTCATCCCCGTCTTGTCTTAAAAATAACTAAATAAGTCATAACAAATTTGATAAGGCAGGTTAGGTCTGAATTGTCATCTCTAGCCATTTATTCATTTCCAAACGGTAGAATTTAGTTAAACGAAATTGTATGAACCTGCTATTTATGCTTATAAATTAAACTTTTCTAATATACATGTCACACATATGTTATAAATCTTGATTGTGCCCCTTGGTTCAACTCTTAAAACCTAATTGTGACCTTAGATCTTCAACATCAATTAGATTCGAGTAATCAAGACATGCTTAGTAACTAGCAAGTCTTGTTTGATCTTTTTTTCTATCATAAAGCATGCGAAGCACCACTACCTCATATCATCAATTAGACGGGGCGTAGAAATCGAGCATGCATCATTGCATGATCCATTTTTTGAGTTCTAAATCAAACTCTGGAATCGAATGTGAACCAAGCGACAAAGAACAACCAAGATGAGTCAAATAGTAGGCCAAAAATGTTAGAAGTCTTGAGTAGTAATAGGTAGTTAAACCTATTACTACTCATGACTTCTAACAAAAAATTCCCCTTTCTATACACGTGAGAGAGTCGAACATTCCACCGTTGTTGGAGGAGGTTTCTAAGTTGAAAGACAAGGCTCACATGATATTGATTCGGATCTCCTATTGTTGCCAGGATGGACAATGCTGCAGTAGAGTCCATCTGTAAGGCTACCTGTCGATGTCCAAACCGCTACCCCAAACCTGACATGTAGGGACAGTTCAGAGATGAGGGTGAGTGAACTAGTCAGCAAAAGGTACCTGGAAGAAAGAGGATTCGTCGAGCTGACCTAGAACTCCCCGCCACATGTCCTAGACATATGGGCAAGTACACAAAACATGGTCAGACATATCTGACGTGCCATGACATCAGTGGCAATCGTCCCTCGGCGCCAGCTTTCTTCGTTTGCGCTCTGCGTTTGCCAGCAAACGGCTATGGCCCACCAGCTACAAGAAGTGTCTGATACGGTGCGGACTCAACCATTTCCAACCCACCTCCACGCCTTCTGCTCAACTACCTTCTCTAAAGCCGCCGCAGCTCCATACGACGAACGAATGACGAATTGATCGTTCGACTCAACTCGAGTTCATCTTTATTAGTAGCAAATTTGAACGGAGTTTCCAATAGAAAAAAACTAAAAACGGATTTTTGTCAAAATTCTTAGTAGGTGCATGCGTTTGTCAAAATAACATAAATTATAGTGACTAAAAGGGTAAAAGGAAAAGACTATATAACAATTTGTAATCATAGGAAGTCTTTGGTGAGCGAAAAAAGCAGAAGCCGCGAAATTGTGTATTCGCTTTCGCCATCACTGCTCTAATTAGTCTCCAGTTTCTACACTGCAGCCAGGAAGAAGGACTTCCCTCGTTTTCTTCTCTGCTGCTCATTCACTCTCTTTCTGGTTTCCCCCGTGATTAGTTTCTTTCTTCAGCAATGGCGGTTTCCATGGACGAGTTCCTGAAGCAGTGCGAGCAGTCCGGCGACTCCGCTTACGCTGCTCTCCGCTCTCTGTTGGAGCGGCTGGAGAATCCGGCCACGCGCACTCAGTCTCGGATTTTCCTATCCGATCTTTACAAACGCGTCGGCGACTCCGATCAGTGCCTAGACAAATACCACTTCCGGATCCAAGACGTCGTCCTCGAACACGGAGGTGAAACTCTCTCTCTCTCTTGATTCAGCCAGCAATTTTGTTGATTCATTGGGCGGTCGTGTGTGAAAGAAGCCTTGCCGAATTCATTGCGTCCCTTCTATCGTTATTGCCGTAATGCCGTGTTAGGTTCGATTCGTGTTGACTGATGTTCTGTTTGGTTCCTGAGAAAAGGAAACGAGAAAGAATCTGGAAGGGGAATGAGATGTTGAACTCAGTCGCCGGGATTCGAATGTTTGTTACTTGGTGATTACTCTAATCTGTTTGATTATATGTGTCCTTCGATTATGCTCTCTTCGGCGTTGCAGCAGATTGCTTTGGAGTTTAGATTTCAGTTTGCCAGTATAGGCGTGTTTTTCAAGAAAACGTAAAACGAGGCCCTATCCCGATCATTGATTAGCGATTGAAAAAGAGACTCCCCATTTGCGAGGTCTTGTATTACTTGGATTTTGTCCTCTCCTCAGCCGGTGGCCATTGGACTGGGAATCTACTGCCGAATTCCGTTATTTTATTCTACCACTTGTGCTGTGCTCTATTATTGGTTAAAACCCACGAAGTCTCCTAAAATATGTCACTCTTTGCATTTCCACAGCTGAACAAGGGAGAAAGAAGTTGACAATGGTGGTTATTCCTAG